TCTTGGCTATTGTAAACAAAGCCATGAAAATTAGGATTGCGTGTATCTTTTCAGGTTAGTATTTTTTTTTCAGATGTATGTTCATTTGATTTTTAGTTTTTTGAGAAACCTCCATGCTGTTTGCTACAGTGGTTGCACTAATTTACATTCCCACCAACAGTGTATAAGGGGTCCGTTTTCTATACATCCTCACCAGGGTTTATAATTTGTTGGAGGTAAAAAAAAGCTTAGGAAGGACTTCATTCATAGCAGGCAGGAGACACGGTTTGGAGGTGCCAGGGTCAGAAATGAGGGGCACAGTGCTCTTGCTCTTCACCATAAACTGGAGGGCAAGACAGGACAGGCGTGGGTCTTTGCTGAGATTGGCCCTGTCACATCTGCCCAGACCTCAGTGTCTGTGGTGAAAAAAACAGAAACAAATTTTTCCCTAAAATCTTTTCATCTGTGACATTCCATGCACAGAGAATCTTGGTGAAACGGCCTCATAATTGGCCACAGTATTGAGTCCTCAGCTGTGGCGTTGCCCCAGCAGGCACCTTGCAGCAAGCAAGTCTGCATTCTCAGCTCACCACGCCTCAGATGTTTCATTGCCATCAGGGTTATTTTTGGATGTACAGGGATTTTCAAATTCCTGTTCACCTTTGCAAGGTATAATTAGAATTTATTGGAAGAGACTCACAGAGTTCTTGTGTAAGAAGTGAGAGGGCGTCCCGAACATGTTGTCCCTAGGTTTCTGATTCTACTATGTCCTCTGCAAGACTCCCCAGAGTGGATCCTGGGGTGGCCCTAGGGTTTGCAGTCTGAGCCCCGTTTCCAGCATGGGAATCCCCACATGCTGAGCAAGCCCAAGGCTTAAGAGATGCCTTCGGGTTTGGAAGCTTTGATTTTCACACCTGGAGATGGGATTCCTTTTTTCTTTGTGAGCTCAGCTATGCATTTTAAATTTCTCCTTTATTTTAGCACATGTTTTTAGATGTTTGTAATGGGTGAGTTCTTGAGTTCATCTGCCATTTCTCTGGCAGGCCTATTTTTAGTCTTTGTTTTAATTTAATATGATGGGTAGCTCAGGTATAGACTGATGGTTAATCTGCATATTCATATCAAAACTTTCAAAGGGATGTTACTCAGTTTTAAAAATAATTTATTCACTTCTATTCCATAAAGGATGCATTAAATTATAATTGTATAATATATAGTCGAAACTTAATTACAGACTTTTTTAATTTCATATTTGTGTCATTAGTTGTGGCTACATTTTTTAAATGTATTTTGACTTGTTTTCAGGTAAGAGGCTAACTATCTGGAACAGGGTGTGGAGTGTCCTTTCCTTGAGGTGTGACATTTTGGACAGCACTTGCTGTCCCCTCTCCCCAGTATACGCAGGAGTATGCTCTGTCAGGGGGTGGGGGGCAGGGCACACTCTGGTCCTGCTGATGCTGCCTCATCTCCTCTTCTATGGTGGTGGCTCTGCACAAGGGGTGAGAAGAAGGACCCTGGTAGCTTGATTATCTGAAGGGGGTGAAGGGAAACATAATTCCATTTTTTCAAGGTCATGGTTTATCTCACAGAGGCTTCTCTTCATGTTCAGATACCTCCTTTGGTTAGGAAAAGCTTGTATATGAACGTCCTATCAGTTTGTCCACCCATCAAACTCTGTGTCCTGAGTGCTGGGCTTAGAAAGCAAACCTCCCTTTCCTCCGTCAACCGCCAGCCCTTTGTGGTCTCACCTCTGCCCATGCCTTCCTTCAGAGGTGTGGTCTGAATGTCTCTGTGCTAAAGATCATGTAGAGAGGATGTTGAGGCCACACATCTTACTCTGAAAATGTGGAATATTATTGTGAACGTGAATGGTGGTTGGTGTGCAGCATCAAACCAGAGAGTCACAACCTGGGAATTGAGACATGTGTAATTAACAGAGAGGAAGTCATTAGCATCTGCGGATACACCCGCAGCGCATGTGAACTATGCAGTCGTTCCAGCCAAGGACAGCAGGGCTCTGGTCCAGCTGTTAGGAGAGGTGGGGAGCTGCTGCACCGCCCGCGTCTTCCCTGCATGGCCTGCAGTGGTGGACACCACGGGCAGTGAATAGCTCTTGCTATTTGTAAATGTTTTTGTCTTAAAGTAAGTTAATTGAAAATCAAAATAAAATTCCTTACTTAGAAAAATCTTTCACCATCCTCTAAGGAAGAGGAATTAAATCTCTGTAGTCAGAACCAGTTGCTTATCTATAACAGGATTAGAAATTTAAATGCTTAATTAGATCATTGGGTCTTCTGTGGTTTTCCTGGTTTTGAATTTTTTTCCCTCACCAAAAAAAAAAAGAATAAATTTACAGGAATTTCTATTGGTTTTTTGTTTGTTTGTTTTTGCTTTTTGTTTGTAAATAGGCTCTATCCTACAGATACTAGCCTGTGTGGGCAAAATGTATAAGATGTTATTGTACGTCACTGTTTATAATAATAAAGCCCCAAAGTGATCTCAGTGTCCATTAGGACTTCTTAAGTAAATTGCAGTGCATCTCTGTGCTGAGGTGGGGACATGCAGTGGTTACAGAGCAGCACAGCTTTGTAGACAAGATGACTTACTTCCAAGACGAATGTATGCTTGTTTATTGTTGAGTGTAGTTAATTTACAGTGTTGTGTTAGTTTCTGCTGTACATCAAAGTGATTCCGTTTTTTACACACACATGCAGATGTGTATGGGCTTCCCTGGTGGCTCAGACCGTAAAGAGTGCCTGCAGTGTGGGAGACCTGGGTTCGATCCCTGGGTTGGGAAGATCCCCTGGAGGAGGGCATGGCAGCCCACTCCAGTATTCTTGCCTGGAGAAACCCCATGGACAGAGGAGCCTGTGGGCTAGTCCATGGGATTGCAAAGAGTCGTACACAACTGAACAACTAAACATACACATACGTGTATATACATGTATGTGTATGAGTATGTATCCGATTCGTTTATTATATCTGTTATATATATATGTTCTTTTTCAGATTCAGGTCTATTATAGTTTATTAAAAGATACCTGATAGTTCTCTGTGCTATACAGTAGGACCTTGTTGTTTTATCTATTTTATATATAGCAGTATGTATCTGATAATTCCAAATTACCTAATTTATGTCTCCTCCTTCCCTCTTTGGTATTGTTTTCTATGACTGTGAGACTGTTTCTCTATTGTAAATAAGTTCATTTGTATCATATTTTGGATTCTGCGTGTGAAAGTGAAAGTCGCTCAGTCATGTCTGACCCTTTGTGACCCCATGGACTGTATCCATAGAATTCTCCAGGCCAGAATACTGGAGTGGGTAGCCTTTCCCTTCTCCAGGGGATCTTCCCAACCCAGGGATTGAACCCAGGTGTCCCACATTGCAGGTGGATTCTTTACCAGCTGAGCCACAAGGGAAGCCCAAGAATACTGGAATGGGTAGCCTATCCCTTCTCCAGCGGGTCTTCCTGACCCAGGAATCGAACTGGCGTCTCCTGCATTGCAGGCAGATTCTTTACCAACTGAGCTATGAGGGAAGACCATTTACACTCTGCATGTAAATGATATCAAATATATCTGTCTCTCTCTCTGATTTAGTTCACTAAGTAATAATCTCAGGTCTGTTCATGTTGCTACAAATGGTGTTATTTCATTTTTTTGTGTGGATGAATAATATTCTGTTGGGTTTTAAGAATCCACCCGCAGTGCAGGAGACACAGATTTGATCCCTGGGTCAGAAAGATCCCCTGGAGGAGGAAATGGCAACTACTCCAGTATTCTTGCCTGGGAAATCTCATGGACAAAAGAGTCTTGGCAGGCTATAGCCCATGGGGTCACAAAAGAGTCAGGCACGACTTAACAAACAATAGTATTCCATTGTACATATATATCTCATCTTTATCCATTCATCTATCAATGGACATTTAGGCTGTTTCCATATCTTGGCTATTGTAAATAGTGCTGCTTTGAACATTGGGGTACGTGTCTTCTAGAATTAGGGTTTTCTCTGGATGTAAGCCCAGGAGTGAAATTGCTGGATCATAGGGTGGCTCTAGTTTTTTAAGGAATAAGGAATCTCCATGCTGTTCTCCACAGTGGCAGCACCAATTTACACTCCCATCAACAGTGTAGGAGGATTCCCTGTTCTCATACACTCTGCATCATTTGTTATTTGTAGACTTTTTCATCATGGCCATTCTGACTAGTGAGAGCTGATACCTTGTATTTTTAATGCATTGCCGTAATAATTAGCAGTGTTGACCATCTTTTTTGTGTGCTTATTGGCCATTGTGTGTCTTCCTTGGAGAAATGTCTATTTGGGTCTTCTCCCCATTTTTTGATTAGTCGGTTGTTTTCTTGTTATTGAGGTATATGAGCTGTTTGTATATTTTGGAAATGAAGCTCTTGTTGGTCACATCATCTGCAAATACTTTCTCTCATCTTGTGAGTTGTCTTTTCATTTCATTTATAGTTTCCCTTGTTGCGTAAAAGCTTATTAAGTTTTATTGGGTCACATTTGTTTGTTTTTGCTTTTATGTCTCTTGCCTTGGGAGACCTAAGAAAACGGTTTATGCCAAGACAAATTTTTAAAAGAGGAAAGTAAAGAGTGTAAAGAGTGGAGAGTTGGTGTCAAACGGGGAAGCCAGTGGAAGGGTTTAGTCCTCAGACGGTCACTTCACAACACACACCGGGAGGGGAGCCAGTGTACTGGACGGGGGAGTTTGTCCTAATCTGCCATTCTGCAGTTTGTGTAGGCAGTGGGCTTCTCTGATTGTCCCTGTGCGTGTTCAGATTCCATCGTTCCTGGGTGTGTGTCTGGACGTTGTCCAGTTCTTCCAAATTGTGTTGTCCCCTGGGCACCCTTTCTTATATCAGAAAAATAAAGAAAATACATGGTTGACATTGGACAGAAGGGACGCTGCATTTGGGCAAGTGTCCCTTTCCCCCTGCATTGTGTATTGTAGCCAGCTGGCCCATCATTTGCCACTCTCATGCCCTCAAAATGTGTCTCTTTACAGCAACGGTGGCAGCCATGTACTACAGCTACTACATGCTGCCAGACGGCACCTACTGCCTGGCACCTCCCCCTCCAGGGGTTGACGTTGCCACTTACTACAGCACCCTGCCTGCCGGGGTGGCCGTGTCCAGCTCCACCGGAGTGACTGCCACTGCCCCACCCCCTCCAGGGACCACGCCACCTCCCCCACCAACCACGGCGGAGACGAGCAGTGGGGTGACCTCCACCACCATCACCACAAGGTATGCTGTCCTGCTGACCACCTGGAGCACGTGTGTTCTTGGTTTAGGCTTCCTTATAATGTGGATCACACAGAGGATCTCTGTTATCTGAGTATTTATTATCCAAGTCCCCACGTTGCAGGGTTGATCATGACATAGGCACTTACAGCAGTGAGATTTAACCAACTGAGAAAATTCTCTCCCTGTTAGCATCCCACACCCCTCCCCTGAGCCCCAGCATCTGTTCTTTCCCGTGTGTCACCATCTCAGGTGGACATTACCGGGCATAGTCAGTATGGAGTCCAGTTATTTGCCAAAAACCCGGATTCCATAAAGTTGATGCAAGTGAATCTCTCCCACACTGTTGGGACCTGGCCATCAGCCCAGCAAACCGTTGACTCACAGAGCTAGCACAGTAGGGACTAAACCCCCAGCCCTTGTCACGGGTGGTGTGGAGGGGACTCTTGAGTGTCTCAGTTGAGCAGGCACTTTGTAAGAGGCTCTGGAACTTGCTAAAAAGATGCTCAGGAAACCTGACAGAACACTTGGTTATTTTTGTAGAAATGACCCACTTTCTGAACGTGCTAAGAAAGTCAAAGATGAAACTATGGGTGATGAATTATGCTAGCTAGCATTTTTAAGATAAAAAAATCCACACTTGGTTTATTCTTGGTTACTTCTGAGAATTAGCAATTGGAGGAAAATGGGAGGAGATGATTCTGTTTTCATGACCTTAAGTGTCACTTTGAGTAAAACCCCTATTTTCACAATCAGCAGTGATATTTCAGTCCCTGTTTCAAGTGGATTGACTTTGATTAGTTTTCTGGAGTCCCAGTCATCTCAGATAAGAGCTTCCCTGTCTCTGTAACTTACCTGTTGGTGGGAACTGAGACAGTGCAAGTCCTCCAGCCACTGTGCTGGCTGCCCCGACCAGTGATCTGGGGGAGGGCCTGGTGCTGTGGGTGTGACCCTGTTCTCCTTTGCAGTGCACTTGCTCCCGTGGCCACCATCATCCCCCCGCCCCCCGACATCCAGCCTGTGATTGACAAGTTGGCAGAGTACGTGGCCAGGAATGGCCTTAAGTTTGAGACCAGCGTTCGGGCCAAGAATGATCAACGGTGAGTGAAGGAGTTTATATGGGGTAGGTGGATGGTATTTGAGGTTTAGTTTAGCTTCTTTTTTTAACCTAGCTACATAATTCTTTATATATATATTTTATATATATATATAAAGAATTATATATATATACACATATATGTGTGTGTATATAAAATATATAAAGAATTATGTATCTATAATTATGTATATATATACATATATATATGTGTGTGTGTGTATATATATATATAATCCTATGTTTAGATAAGTACATCTTGTTCAGTTACTTTCAGTTGGGGTGGTGGTCTTTTTTATTGTTGCAATTTTTTATTTATTCAGTTTGTTTTGCTTCATTTTTAAAAAATATTGGACCTGCCTAAAATAAGAGGCTGGAATTCATGCTTTTCAAGAATCTGCTGTGGAAGTTAGACCCACACTTCACCTTGTGTTTTTAATCAAATAATGTTCCATGCTCAGATTGTAACGTAAAAACAGGAGGCAGTGGTTGCAGCATGATCTGTGTGACTGTGGATGAGCGCTCTGACCTTCTCTGCCCCAGTCTCCTGGGCCTGTAAAGTGTGTGGGGGGTGTTGTGGCTGCCACGAGGGGTTGTTGAGATCCTGGGGGTCAGTCACTGTGAAGTAAGAACAGGTGTGGTTGGTCAGAGCTGAGGTGTTGCAGTGAGCGTGTCTTATTGAATGCCTCATCCCTTCTCTGTTCCTAGGTTTGAGTTCCTGCAGCCGTGGCACCAGTATAATGCCTATTACGAGTTTAAGAAGCAGTTTTTCCTCCAGAAAGAAGGGGGCGAGAACGCACAGGTATGTGTGGGAAGAACAGTCTGATTCTTAAGATGTTTGCTAATAAGGCTTGTACATTTTACACTTGCTTTTAGGTGTAATGGATGTCTTGCATTTACTGACTTACCTTTCTTCCCTCTCTCTGTTTTATACCTGTTAAAACCTTTGACCACATTCACAATTCACTGATGATCATTTGTCCAGTCAAGGGTGCTGCCCACCATTGTCTTGGAGGGCCGCCTGCTAGCAGCTCCCCTCACAGCTTCCCTCCCTGCAAACGGCCCCACACTTGATTCCTAGGTACCTGTTGGAAGCATTTCTTCCTGTCCTTATGATCCTTTCTTCTGCCTCTCCTCTCCTCTCCTCTCCTTATTTACATGGACACCCTGATATTTTTTAAAACCTGTTTTGGTAGAGAACATGTCACTGGATTCCCTCAGGCTTTTATCTCTGACTGCTCAAACTGAAGAAAATGGACTTAGGTGCCAGGCATAATTTGGTGTTCTAAATGTGTTCTCAGTGATCCATTTCCACAGAAGTAGTGGGCGTTTATTCCCAAAATGGTGTTAGAGGGGAAATACCTTCCGCTCTTCCTTTCAGTCTGTTCTATCAGAAAATAGTAAATCTGAGTTAGAAAGTATGCTCCTTAGTGTTACTTGGGCAGTAACATAGCAGTGCTGTCGTCCCATGAAATATGCATACACTGTGTCTGTTTCCTGACAAATCCTGCGTCATTTCCGGTGAGCAATTCAGAGTCATGTTTAACCTCTACAGGCTGTGTCAGCGCCGGAAGAGACTCCTGCAGAGTCTGCTCCTGAAAAGCCGAGTGACGTTGGGGAAGATAGTGTGTCTGAAGACGCAGCCGACGTGGGGGGAAGAGGTGTCTCCTCGGGGAAGAAAGAGGCATCGTCCAGCAGAGCCGTCCCAGACGGGAAGCTTGTGAAAGGTATGCTGCCCTGGCTACCGAGAGTTCCATTCTTGATCTTGTACCTCGTAGGTGTCACTTTAAATCAGCAAGGAAGAGCGCTAGACCACTTACGGTCAGCTGCCTTCAACCATAGGACAGGAGGGAATGGCTGCCCCTTTTAAGTTGCTATAATGAAACTTGCTTATATGGGTTAGCCAACAAGTTTGTTCAGGTTTTTCTGTACTATCTTATGGAAAAACCTGAACAAGCTTTTTGGCCAATCCAATACTTTCTTGATTTTGAATTTGGGGTCATTTGGATACAAACTCATCTTAGGTATACATTTGTTTTACCAGACTATTCTCATGTTAGGGTTAATGGAAGTGTTTAGAATTTTTCAAATAATGTTTTGTACCGCCTTGGAGTTGTGAAACTACATACAAACTATTGTGCCAATGGAATTAGTTTTCTTTATATGTTAAGGCAGGTCCCTTGAGGGTCTCTACCAGGCAATATTCCTTTCATTCCATTCCAGTTTCCCTTTATGTTCATGGGAGGAGTTTTTCATTTACCAGGACAGACATACAGAAAGAAGAAAAGTTGACACAGCCACATTAGCAGAGAACCCTTTGTGATAGAACATGTGAAGAAGCAGTGAATTCCACCAAGTGGGAACAAGAAAGGGCATGCAGAGGGAAAGGGACTCCCAGAAATAGAGGCTCACCCCTAGGCACGGGCGGTGCCATCTGAGATGCGTGGCAGGTTCAGAGATGGGAAGCGGTCCAAGTGACTCGGGTGTCAAGTGGGGCATACCCACCAAGGTAGCCTCAGCCACCTCATGGGGGTCTGCCCTCCTGGTGGGTCCTGGGGCTACCATCAGGGGCAAAACACCGTACATCTTAGATCAGAGGGGTCTCTTTGCCCCGTGTGGTGAGCGTGTGAAGCGCAGAAGCCACGTGGGAGGTTTAGAGGAGCTGATGGCCTCGAGTGCAGGAGGGGCGCTGCAGCGAGTGCTCGGGTGGGAGGACGGCAGAGGGGATGCGGGATGGAGCAGGATGGGCCAGGTCACGGGAAGGCCTTTTCTGTGCAGAGATGCCTTTTCTAATAGATGGTGATCAAGAGTAACCAGAATGACCCAAGTGAATAACTCGGAAACCCGTGATTTAGGAGAGCAGGAAAGCGTCTGTAAGCCTCTCAATACAGGAGGTTCCCTGAGCATACGTGTTTCTTCTCTCACCCCTCCCAGCTGTCTTCAGACTCTCACTGGAATAGCCAGAGGAATGTAGCAAGTAGAGAGTAAAAACTGTTACTAGTAAAGCAATTATCCTTCGATTAAAAATTTAAAAGGGAGGGTGGGATTGGTTACTGCTCCAAAAGCTGGGGGACATGCTTAAGAAAGACAAGCCAGCCCACCTGGACTTTAGTTCATTAAGGACAAGCCAGACATTTTGGAGTCAGTGGCAGTGACCCCCAGGAGAACCCACTGTCAACCAAAGAAGGGAGCAGGCCAAAGATCAGAACAGCCAGGATCATCTGAGGGCAGCCGGGCCCTGTCAGGGTTTGATCCGGTGCAGTTGGTCAGCCCCTCAGCCAAGGTTACTGCCCACCATGGTGCACCCTCCACTCTCCTGTGAGTTCCCAGTAATTCAGCAGGTGAAACCGCGCTTGCCTCCTCGCATTTTCTGAGCCTGAGACGCCTGAGAGCTGCAGGTGTCTGACAGAACCCACCCTGCCCGAGACGGGTCACTGCACCTGCAGAGAGGCAAGAGTTCAGAAGGACATGCATCTGAGCCCTTGGAAGCAGTTACTATGTTATAGGAAAATTCTTTTACTCTCTGATTTCTACTCTCACAGAATTAAAAGGTACTGTAAAATTAGTGTAACTGATAATCCAACATCTGGAAAAGATTTAGAAAATGATTGCCAATTCTTAAAATATAATAAAGCACTCAGAATCAGATTGGATGAGAAAACAAGTTCAGAATTTTCCTCAGATTTCCAAGGAAAAGAATAAAGATGGAAGAAAAGCCATCTAGATAGGAAAATAGGTTGTCCTCCACAGGGGGAAAAAAGCAGGCTGGCACATTAGACATGTATCTGTAGCATTAAATGCCAGGGAATTCAGGTGTATCAGATTCTGAATGCAAAGTATTCTAAATGCTGGAGCAGAGTTTACAGATGTGGCAATGCCCTGAAATAGTCAAAGAAACTGAAAACAAGACTATTATCAAAAAATTATCAAATGCAGTGAAAACTTAAAAACCTATAACTTCTTATGCTGTGTTGATAAAGAAAAAATAAAAACAAACCAAGCATTCAACTCAAGAACCTAGGAAGAAACTAAAAAATGCATGTAAGGAAAGCAGAAAAGGAAAATCACTGAAGAAGGCAGAAATCAGTGAGGAAATAATAAAAGACCAGTAAAACTTTTCATCATTGTGCAAGTTTAATACAGTGTAGAAAAGAAAGCAAATGCACAACATAATGAAAAAAAAAAGAAAGGAAAAAACTTGTTTTTAAGTACACAGAAATAATATGTATAACTAAATTTGAAAATTTTGAAAATAAATGATAAAATTGTCTAAAAAAGTATGAAGTGGTAAAATGATCTCCAGAGAGGCAATAAAATAGATCTGTAGGCCTAAAAGAATTTAGAAAACATTCATCAGTGAAATACCTCTAAAAGCAGGCAGGCCAGGACAAAGTCAAGGTCAAGGTAATTTGTGATTTAAGCTCCTCCAGAGCCCAAAGATCAAAAGTTCAAAAGCTCTCGAGCCCCAGTACCTTAGCCCCACAAAGCCTAGCAATGTGCAGGCCAGGAGCCCTGGGTAGCCCGGGTGTTAGCTTCTCAGATGGAAGCAGGTTCAGAAGCGCAGTAAGAGCAAGTGTGGGCAGGTGGGGTTCCTTGCAGAAGTCCCAGTGTGGCACCCCACCAGAAAACCTCCCAGTACAGCCAGTCTTACCACCAGACAGGTGCTGGAACAACACCCACATTTCCCAAGATGCTTATGAGACAGCTTCCCTAGTATGACAATAATTGATGTTGGAAAAACAGGCTCTCCATTTGAAAAAACTTAGACACCCCACCTGACAACAATACTGATTCCAAAGTGTTTAAATGCAGAAACTAAAATCATGAAGGGAGAAGAAAATTAGACAGTTCTTTCCTAGTCTTAGAGTTGGAAAGGACTGCCTAAGAATTAAAGCCGTACCTGATAAAGGTTAACAGGTCTGATGGGACCTGGGCCCACATAGAGTCGAAAGGCAATGTCAGGACAGCAGCGATTGCTAATAACAGCAGAAGGTAAAAGGCCAAGGTCCTTGCCATAGGGAGAGCCCTTGTGGGTCAGTAAGAAGAGTCACCGCAGCAGAAAAGCAAAGGGCATGAGAAGGCAGCTCACAAGAGAAACAGGTGGCACGCGAACGCATTTTTAAAACACATCTGCACTGGCAAGGGGCTCTTCTTTGCCTCGGCTTCGGTAAGTCAGAAAGTAATAGAGAGGGTGCGGGCGGCTGGGCCCTCACACCATCCGTGGAGTGTTGTTGGTAAGGCCTCTCTAAAGGAGGGAGCCTGACAGTGGAGACCCACCTCTAAACACAGACGCCCTCCCGCTCCTGCAAACGGCTGGTTCCCCAGGCTGTCTCAGCCAGGTGTTCATCACAAGGCTCCTGAGCTTTCAAAAATAAAAAATTGGGAACAGCTGTGGGAGACTGAAATAAACTGGCATGTCCGTACCAAGAATATGACTGCCATTTATTAAAATGACGTATGTTGACATGGAAAGATGTCTACACTTCTTATATGGAAAGGCATCTCTTGTTAAGTGGAAATAATAAGTGGGCTAAAAACTGTAAAGCGTGGTCCCATTTTCCTGTATTTGTGCACATGCACATGTTTGTGCCTCGGAACCATCCACTGATAATATTCAGATTATTTCTTTCCCATATCGGAATTGCAGTTGGTCTTTCATTTTGTTCATCTGTGTTTTCACAATTTCCCACTGAGAATATATTTTACCATAGAAGTTAAAAGTTATTAATGACCTTAAGAAAGGAAGCATATCTGATGTGGAAGGCAGAGGGCCGGACACTGTGGGTTCACTCACAAGTCTTTCCTGAGAGTCGGTGCGGACCTAGGCAACATTAGTGCTGCAGTCCTTGCCTGTTCCAGGCTCCAGGTGAGCAGACCACACACACAGTACAAACTGTAAAGAGTGGCCTGAAGGAGAAGAGGCCAGCAGGCCCTATCCGAGGAGAGGCTTCATTTGAGAAGAGCCGAGGAAGAAAGCCAGGCGTGGAAAAGAGGGCGACAGCTCCAGGCAGAGGACAGGGCTAGCCCAGAACATGGTGGGAGAGGTGGCCAGGAGCCTGGGCTTCATCCTAACACAACAGGAAACTGAAAGCTGTAAGAAGTGCTCTTCACATGTTGTGATGTGACTTGCAAATAAGCTTCCATGTAGAAGCAATAGTTGTATAATTGAATAATTCTGCAAAGGAAGTAATTCCTAATCACCTGCTTTCAGGCTGAGCTACATTGGGAAAGTTACTTCACCTTTTTAACCTCAGTTTCCTTATCTGTAAATGGGGAGGCCTGATCATTTCTGTTTCTTCATGGGGTCGCAAATGTGAGGTGAGGTGATGCGTGTAGACTGCACATTAGTCAGTTCTCTTAAGTCACTTTAAAGTATATGCATGTTGTTGGCATGCATTAAGCTGTGTTCCAGAAGTTTTCCTTTTAATGTATTTGTTGGTTGAATTTATTTTAGTTTGGAGGCCTGAAGATAGGGAGTAATTGTTTTAAAATTGTTTTGTGGTATAGTACTTTAGCCCCAAGTTAACGTGAGTAATTTTAACATTTAACTGAGCTTTTCTTTTATATTGACATGTTTCTTTGACTCTGATTTATTAAAGAGACCTAGAGGTAATACAGGATTAATGTTATGATACTTTTTTCTTATGAAAAAATTTCAAACAAGTACAAAAACAGAGCCTGGTGAAATAGTCACCACACACACATGCAGCCCTGAGCGTCCAGCTCCCATGGCCAGCACTGACTGATTTCATCTATAGACTCAGTCCAGCCCACCCCCAGGATATTCTGCAGCAGATCCCAATATCATGGCATTTTATCCATCAGCATGAGTGCATGTATCTCCAAAAGATAAGAACTGTTCTTAACATAACCTCAGTAAGATGATTAATATTGACTCTCCCAACAAAGTGTATTTTTCTTCCCATGTTCTTTGTCTGGGGGGTTATTAGGAAGGTGCATCACCCTGCACAGTCCAAGTGCATAGCATTGCATAATCAACACAGACTGATTTTGCCCCCTTTGACTCTGACTTAGCACTTTGTATGTGCGTTAGTCACTCAGTTGTGTCTGACTCTTTGCCATCCCATGGACTATAGCCCTCCAGGCTCCTCTGTCCATGGAATTCTCCAGGCAAGAATACTGGAGTGGATAGTCATTCCCTTCTCCAGAGGATCTTCCTGACCTGGGATCAAACCCGGGTCTCCTGCGTTGCAGGCAGATTCTTTACCATCTGAGCCATAGGGAAGCCCACTTGACCAACATTGAACATCTTGGGGTGTGCTTTGTAGCTTGAGGTGATGATTGACAAGAGATGATTATATTTCAGTGATTGGGTTATTTGCCTGCTTCAAGTCACCCACGGATTTGGAACCATAAATGCTGAAAGTGGGGATGCCTTGGGGGTCAGCTGAGTGAGCTCACCCTCACAACCCCAGCCACTTCAGACAGAACCTGCCTTTGTTAACCCAGATCCACTTCCTCCTTAGAGTTAGCTCCTTTGTGCTGCACTTAAAATAGCCCTTCATTGTGGTTTACTTGAATAGCTTTCACCAGTAATAACACATGGTTTTTAAAATAAAGTATCTTATTACAACCAATTAGGTGTTGTTAGGAGCCATTTACCATAGTGTCTGAGGAAGAAGGGACCCAGTGAGTGAGTGTTAAGTGGATGGGGGGAAGGGGAAGAAGATTGTTTCCTTTTGGGCCTTTGTATTTCTCTTAAATTAAAAATTCCAAATATTCTAGGAGAGAAAAAATTGAACCACCTAAATTTTTGTTACCCTAGGTTTAAAATTGTCTTACAGGTTCAGAGAATAGTTTGACATAATGCCTGGCACAAAGTAGGCACCCAGTCAAATGTTTGCTGAATAAAGGAATAGATTATCTTGCTTTTGTAAAAAAAAAAGAAAAGAAGAAAAAGTTTATTTTATATAGCTATGATTTTTTTTTAGAAGTAACTTTTAATAGTGGAGTCGCATCATATGCTTACTTACGGAAACTCAGCTATGTGCTGAGCCCAGAAAAAGAAGGAAAACATCCACAAAAATTGACCATTTGGCCCTGCAATGACCCCAGATGGCACTCAGTGTGTGTGTCCTGACGTGGCCTGAGTTGGAGCCAGTGCTTTAGTGCCCTGCATCTGGCCTGGGGTGTGTGACATCCTTCTAAAGGCCCTCTGACATCATGGGCACTACTACTGCCCCTAGACCCTCCCTCTGCGTAAGATGTGGCTCCACTCGAGACGTTGCTCCCACCAACTGATGCTCATGTGAATGGTGGGGCCGAGATTTTTGCTCTGTGCTTTCAGTTACTTAAAAATGTATTACCATTTTCACCTTTTCTCAATAGCTTCATTTGCTCCAATAAGCTTTGCAATCAAGGCCAAAGAAAATGATCTACTTCCCCTGGAAAAAAATCGTGTTAAGCTAGATGATGACAGTGATGATGATGAAGAAAGCAAAGAAGGCCAAGAAAGTTCTAGTAGTGCTACAAACACTAACCCGGCAGTTGCCCCACCCTGTGTAGTTGTTGAGGAGAAGCGGCCTCAACTTACCCAGGAGGAGCTAGAAGCAAAGCAAGGTTTGTCAAATGTTTTAAACTTCTTAAAAGAAAAGTATGTACATACAAGATTAACCTACTAAGCCAAAAATATGGGACTGCCGACTATAGAGTCTCCAGCCTTTGGAATCGGAACCACTGGGGAGCTGTGTGATGTTTTTCTTCAGCTGAGAAGCTCTCAGTCAAGTGAGGAGCACTGCTGTTCATTAAGTTCAGATGCAGTGCCCTCGGCAATTTGTTTTCCGAGGAGGAGCTGAGAGTGGCCGAAAGTGCTTTAATGGCAGCCCTGGGGCAAATGCTCAGCCCGTGTTCCCAGCTCGGGTTAATGTTCTGAGCCAGCAGGTGCCCTTCTGTCTGTGAGGCCTCTCCCTACAGAACCATCGAACCCTTGAAGGGGCCGGGGCCCCTGCTGGTTTTCAGACTGCGGCTCATCTTCATGGGTCACAGTGTGGCCGCTGCTCGCCTCTGACACATGACCAGCAGTGTTGTGGGGAATGTCTTGTCGGGTTCTACCCTTCTTTCAAAATAAGCGCTATTCTTCTCTAACTAAAGTCGTTAACAGTCCTTAACTGGTTTCGTGAATTGCTTTTTCTGTGTATACACAGACAGATCACACAGCATTGATAAAAGGTAACTCTTTAACCACAGGAGGCCCTGGAACTTGCGATGTGCTGTAGTTCCTCTCCCCGGCACACGTGTGTTCATGCCTGTGTCTCTAAATCTGCATTTACTGCGTGTGAACTCCACAGTGTGTCAGTTCATTTGGCATAAAACACTTTTCACAGAGTGTTCATTGCCTGGTATGGCTGTTTGGGCACTTGTATATGAGAACCATTCCTAGAGTCTCATTCCAGGTTTCACTGCTATGGAACTCCATCAGCTTTCTGACTTTGAGTTTGAAAGTAAATTTATGGAAAGTACTAACAATAAGCATTATAAACTAATTCTCTCAGAAATCTGTTTGCCTGATTTGTTGACCTTTCCTGAAATCAGTATCATGTTCATGTTTTAAAGTAACTGCATTGTATGTATCTCATGACCGTGCTACTGCCCGTGTAAATTAAGACAGCAAGGTATTTATAAAATACTGCTTGCTCTAAATGTCTTTTTTCTTTGTTTATTCCTTAAGCAAAGCAAAAATTGGAGGATCGACTGGCAGCTGCTGCCAGGGAAAAGCTGGCCCAAGCGTCTAAGGAATCGAAGGAGAAACAGCTCCAAGCAGAACGTAAAAGAAAAGCTGCTTTATTTTTACAGACCTTAAAAAATCCTCTGCCAGAAGCAGAAGTCGGGAAAGTTGAAGAGAGTGCTTTCAGCGTAGAGGTGAGTTTAAAAAGGATCCACATCAGTGCTCTGAGCCAAGCACCATTGCTAGAAGTACCTACCTGTGAATCCTGCAGCCTCTCAGCTCTCGAGCTGCATGAAGGCTGTGGGCACCCCCTGTGCCTTTCCCCCATGGGATGGAGCACTTGACCAGGCAGACCGTGGAGGGACCATGGAGCTCAGTACCAGATCTGGCAGCAAAGTGAGGCATGCACATTTCTTGGTTTCCCCGCGTGTGTAACAGTTATGTTACACTATACCATAGTCTCTAAAGTGTGCAGGCACATATGCCTGAAAGATAAATACATACCTTAATTTAAAAATCCTTTGATGCCCAAAAATGCCAGCCATCATCTGAGCCTTTAGCAAGTCGTAACCTTTTTGCAGTGTTAACATCACTGATCACAGATCAAATAATGAAAAAGGTTTGAAATAACATGAGAATTACCAGACTGTGACACAGATGTGAAGTAAGCAGATGCTGTTGGGAAGATGGCCTTGATAGACTTGCTCGACACAGAGGTGCCACAAACGTGCAGTTTGTAAAAAGAAAAGAAAACGCAGTATCTGTGAATTCCAGCAGTTTGGGAAAAAACAAACCACATATCTGTGAAAATGAGGTCTGCCTGTACTATATAGCTGGGGTCAGCAAGAGTCTGATGAAAACTCCCAGAATGCACACACACACACACCACGTTGCTGGTGCAGTGTCAGAGTCCAGGCCTCTGGGCCCAGGTTGGGAGCCTGGGCTTTGTGGCGACCTCGCAGGAGCAACAGAAGAACTTCGCCTCTGAGGCACCCACCTCAGGCCTGGACAGACCCTCCAGAGCACTGATACTCCTGCCATCGCAGCAGCCCTTGAGCTCACACTTAGGGTTAGAGTCTTACTCAGGGATCTAGGTTACTATCAGCACTTCCATTAAAAGAAAAATGAGATAAGATATGGTCACTGTCATCTTCTCTTAAGATGAGTTGTGAGATCAGAGCCTCACAACTCTTTCCTAAGCTGTAGGACCAGAACTTAGCCCCCTGGCCCATTTCCTCCCTTCAGAAGGCTGTGGAGGGGGGCTTGGACTTCTCAGAGCAGGGCCTATGCAACTCTGCCAGGTGTCTCCGAAATGCCTTTTGCAGCTGTCTTTCCCCTGTAATGTAGAACGGGTCCTGTGTGCCTTTTACTTTAATTACGTTGACATTTCTAAGAGTCTAGGGCCATTATTCACAACTGATTTTTGCTGCATGTAGCTGCAGGTTTATTTGGTTCTCCATGGAAAGCAGCATTTTTCAGCATTGTATTGAAGGTCAAGTCAGCTTCGTCACCTCAGGAATCAGTTTGAAATTCAAATCTGGCAGGAGGCCTCAAAAATAAAAGCTGAATCAGACTGAGGAGCAGCAAGGGCCAGCTTACATGGCGCCTTCAGCTTCGCCCATTCCCCCCTTGGGGAGGGCCTCGCTGCCACCAGCCGGGCCAAAAACAGGCATGCCCAGGAAGGCACCCTTGGTCATGGCGCAGCTTTGGGAGGATCTCTGGACCAGTGCAGGGGTGAAACCAGCAGTCACTGAGACTGCGTTAGATGTAAAAGAAGGAAGAGGCGGGATATGGAGCAGCTCCACTTTTATGGTGGCAGCTGTAAAAATTTTTTCATATAGCACCAGGGCAGGGAACTTAGGAAGCCAGGGAACTGCCTCCATGGGAGGGGTGTGAGTGGCTATTTTCATTTTCCTTATTGCTGGGATGTCACTTGGGCAGTGACTAAAGGATTTAATTAAAAGTTATCCACATACATAGATACTTTCACCAATTATTCTACATGGATACATCTATATTTTCTATTAAAATTGTGTCTAAATGCAAGTCAATCACAGCCAGAGTCATTCATCGTTAATTCAGTTTTTCTGTCTGCTGTACTGCCGGTATTGTCACAGGTACCAGAATCGCTTCCTTATAAACACAGAATAGCCTGAGACTTGGGTTCTTATCCTGTTTGTCTTTTTTGTGGCATCTCCCCACTGTGTTCTTTTCAAGCCTGTGTTTTAAATCTGTAATACCTTAGAAATGAGTGCTTACACTTCATGTTTAAATCATTGGGTCGATCTTCCTGGACATCTAGTGGGAAAGACTACTGCTACTAAACTATTTCAAAATGTTAACAGTACTTGCAGGTGGTGATAGATATCTTTAATGACTTTGAAACAAAATACCTGAATTAAATTGGCAGCTATCATAAATGAGATTCACACTTGAAAATATTTTCAGTCTAAAGCAGCTTCTGGAAACAGGTGGCCCTGACTCTGTTGTCCGTTTCCTGTGCACTTGACACGCATGCTGACGTGTCTGACCCCACTGCTCAGGTGTATCATCTTAGTGTCCAGGGGACTTGGAGCTCGGGGGTGTCAGCCCAGTGGGAATAGACGCACCCCAGCTCCGTTCTGAGCAGACTCACGTAGGGCTGAATGGGGTTGCTCAAAACCTGGCACCTTGCAGATTATCTGCACTTTCTGTTTTTACTTTGCTTTGTATAAAAGCAGTACATACATGTGGTTTATAAGTTCAAATGCTCAAGAGAGGTGTAAAATGAAGAGTAAGTCTTTTACTGTTTTAACCCTTTTTAAGGATACAGTTCAGTGGCACCAAGTACATTTATGTTGTTATGCAACCATCACCACCATCTCTCTTGAAAATGTTTTCATCTCCCCAAACGGAAGCTGTCCCCATTAAACACCAACTCCCCACTCCCCTTCTCCAGCCTCTGGCACCCACCATCCTACTTATCTACATATAGATCTTTTTAAATATTATTTATTTGGCTGCATCAGGTCTTAGCTACAGCATTCAGGATCTTCAGTCTTAGTTGCGACCCACAGGATCGTTAGTTGTGGCATGCAAACTCTTAGTTGTGGCATGTGGGATCTAGTTTCCCAACCAGGGATCAAACCCAGGCCCCCTGCATTGGGAGCATGGAGTCTTAGCCACTGGGCCACCAGGGAAGTAAGTCCCGTATGTATAGAATAGTACAAGGACTGTGCCCTATCCATTTTTCTGGTGTCTTGATTTTTTTCACTGACTCCAGAGATCTTGCTATACCAATGTCAGAGTGATGCTTGGTGTGTGATAAACACGTGGTAGCTGTTCACTGGATGCGTGACCGTCAGCCCTTTCACACATCAGCCCTTACATCAAGCTCATCTGCATGCGCTGTGTGCTGTTCACCCCTCCTGCTCAGAAGCGTGGGCCCTGCTCGGGGTTTTACTGGATAGCGAGCTGTGACTTGTGCACTCACTGAGGTTGCGTGTGCCCACAGAGTACATCCCTGACCGTGGAATTGTTTATTACATTTCCAGGTTTTAATTTACTGTTAAATTAGGCCCTACAACGATGACTGCAGTTCTGGGCGGGGCGGGGGATGTTTTTGTTTTGTTGTCTCCCTTGTGTATGAATATAACTGTGTTGCCTCCCTGCCAGCATCAGTTATCATCCACCTTAATTCTTGGTCTGATAGGTGGGAAAATACGTTATCTGTTTGGTTTAACTACATATTTTAATTATAGAGGACATTGAGTAACTTTTTTCACAGGTTTCATGGCCTTTCTGTTCTCCTGCTGAGAACACCCTCCATGGCCTCTGCTTTTCTCCTGGCTGACTGTCTCTGTCTCTGCTGTTTTTGTGTTAGCTCTGTGTCATCAGCATTACCAACAGTTTCTTTTTGTCTTTTAATCTGCCCCACTGGGAATTTATTTCACTTTGAGGAGCATATAGCTAGGCACAACACAAGCCACTGAATCACACGTCTTTTCCCACTAGTGTAAAGGGCTCCCTTTAGTGTATACTAAATTCCCACTTGGGTTTGCTCTGTTTTTACATTCTTGCCTGTTCAGTTCCATTGGTCTGTTTGTCAGGAGAGGTGATTTTATGTTTAGCTATAACTTTTAAGGATGTCTTGAAATGTATTTATTGATGTGGACAGATAGTAGTATGTTAAATGTTTAAACATTATATAAAATACATAAAAACCTATTCATAAGTAGTACTTAGAAATCTGTGTATATACCATCCCATTTTGTGTGTGTGTGTTCATGGACACGTGCACTGTTAATTTAAAATGAAGAGAAATCAGAAGTTTTGAATCAAGTCCCTGTTGAATCATGGCATCATTTATGTGGTGACAACAGACTTTGGTACATTGTTTAGATGCACTAACTTTTTTCAGGTTAATGATCCTACCAGGTTTAAGGTCCAGCAAGAGTTAGAAAAGAAAAGGGGAACAAAAATGAACCCATGTTTGCTGAACCTCTGTGATAATTCAGGGAGCTTTGGGGTATGAATTAGAAACCTGTGTCTCATAACCAGTCGCTTTTATGTGGTTGGCATCTACATGTGAACATTTCTACCACGTCGGCCCTGTAAGGTGCAGAGTAGCTCTGAGTGTGTGGATGAGGGACCCGGGCCCCCAGGACAGCAGAGGTGGCACCAGGACTATGAGGAACCTGGATCATTTGGAGAGGTGACAGAGTAGCGAGGAGGCCCAGAGACTCACCTGTGGGGGAGGCCACTGAAGCCTGTGCAGGCAGTGATAATGCCTGCAACCCTGCATCGAAGGGTCTGTGGAGGAGGCGCAGAACAAGTCAGTGACACGGGCAGGTCTGGGAGAGGCTGAACCGCTGGCTGCAGTACACGTGGGACACGGACGAGCTAAAGCAGTGTTTCCACGGGCAGAACATGTATGAGGCAGCATTGGTAAGGCTGGTAGCAGCACTCCCAAGCAACCACAGCTGACGAGAGGGGAGGAGAGGGTGCCAGCAGAGTGGGAAACGCAGTCACCTGGAAAGAGGCCTCAGCAGTCAGAGCTGGGCCATTGCCCTGCCTGGGAGGGTTGCAGGGGCAGGCCAAGCACGGGTAGAAATTTGCAAATACAGTTCCAGAGGATGCATTTCCAAGTCTGATTTCAAACGTTACCTTGAGTTTTTTGTATAATTATCCCATTTCCTGGTTAGTGTATGTGTTA